GTTTCCACTATTGACTAGCTAAAAAACCTCAACCCGATATGTACACACACCGAGCCCAAACCAGCTTACATACATTGACTTGACATTTATCCTCTCCTTCCCTAGGTATTACCATGCTACTGCTGGCCCCAGTTGCACAAGCCCGTCTCAGTCGTTTGGAATCCTTCGACGTTCAGAACCGTAAGCCGCTTACTTCCCACATATTTATTCCTACACATGGCTGCAGTGTGGTATCAACAGACGAGGTTATACCTAGGTCGACATGGGCAAGAATTCTTCCCTCTGTGCCCGGCAGTACCCCACCCACATGTTGTCATTTGCTTATCCAGACATGTCCCAGGTCCTAGCACTGTAAAATCATCTGACAACCATAGAGCAGACGCCCAATAGATGGCACCTCTTCTCGATTGGCAGCAAAATCGAAAGGATTCCTTTCATCTAGTTCTTCGAAGATACGACGGTGCTGTTTAGTTGCTTCGACGACGACGACGACGATGGAAAAGAAAGTTGTTTACGCTTCATCCGTCTTGAAATCGAAATCCCGTCTTCGGTAACGATCCGACGTGTACTGATAATAGTGGTAGAAGGTCTTCTATAGTCTGGCGCGCCTCTTTAAGCCACACCATACTGAAAGCGGCGGGTTCGGTTTCAGGTGCAGTTGAAGATATCCTCGGGTTGGAAATGCAAAAATTAACACCCAGTTAAAGGTGCAAGCCAAGATCCATTTGGAACGTAATAGCAGAGAAGAAGCATGGGAGGTCCCATTCCTTTGAAAAAAGATAAAATCAGAAAATCGCAAAAGGCATCAAAACCAGCCAAGCCAAGCTAGCCCGTGAAAGTTTACATCAGTTTTGGGAGTTGGCCGACGCCGATATGGCCGCTCCCGCACTCAGCTAACTGAGCTGCTGATGGCAAATGTTTCTCGATTTTTGATTATCTCAAATCGGATTACGAGCACCCGGGATTAAGGATGTGCCGAAATCGTTAGGTCAAGTTATTTGCTAACATAAAGACAAAATACGTCGGTGTCCAGACCAACAGCCATAGGGAGCCATTTTACCTTTTTTGCTTTCGTCTTGATAGGATCGTAAATTGAAATATCTCCAGCAAGCGGGAACCGAATCTATCGTCTCCAGCAGCATTTACCATTTACGGGAAAGAAGGATTACTCTAGTCTAAGCTAGTTAACTTTCTTTTCCTTTGGACTTTTGCTGGTGGGGGCTGGGTCGACAGAATTTGAAAGGCTGATAAAGTATTTAGAGCTCATTAAGAGCAGCTATAGAAGCTTTGTTAGATTTGAATTGGATGTCGGAAGATCTGAATGATTGACCTGGATCTTTAGTACCTACTATCGGATTATTTGGAATTATAAACCACAGGTAAATGGAGCAAACAGATGCTTGGTTTATTCTAAGTTGCATCTACACCGTTCGAAAAATTCATTTAAATTTCTGCGAGATATAGCGCACATAAAATTAACGCTAGATTTGGCATAAATTTACGCGATATTTCGTGTAAATTTAAGCGCAATTTTGCATAAATTAGCAATATTGTATGCAAGCTTGTAAACGATTTCGCTGTTTATGCCAAGTATCGCTCAAAATTAAACGAAGGAAAATTTACCGCATTAGTTAAAATTCAGATTTTTTTCCTGTGTAGTTTCAAGATTCTTAATCTGTTGATTTAATGTTTGGCGTGTATCTTTATGCCACTTTAACGCTGGGATAAAATGGTAAAATTTTAACTGTGTTTTGAAATGACTATTAGCTCTACAGTTTATCCTGATTAACACAAATTGTTGTTATTGGGCTACACAACTTTCAAAATCAGAGTAGCTTTATATTTATACAAGCGTTTAAAAAAAAAAGAAATGCAATTCTCGCGGAACATTTCAAATAGACCTATTGATTGATTCTCTTCATCAACTCTCTCTTTCGTTAAAACTTGGCTGCACTCATATTTCGGGATAATTTTTCTACATAGTCTGTAAACACTCCAAACACGATTCCTCCTGTAAAATGTGTTACAACAAACTGGTGATAGTTGAAAAATCATTACTCAGCAATTTATTAATAGATATTTAATCTATTGATGCCAAAAAAAATGTTGGTTGAGCTATGATTTTTCAAATATTGCAAGTTCGCCGCTACACATTTTACCGGAGGCATCGTGTTCTGAGTGTTAAAAGAAAGTATTATTGATATTGGATGACAAGAACAGCTGACCATGTTTTTGGAGCCAAGTTATTATCGAAAGAGAGAGTCAATGAAGAGAATCGATCTATGTAGATTTAAATATGAATTTGTGAGGCGAGAATTATTGTATTGATGCAATCACTCGAAGAGTGTGCTTGAGAAGAACCACGTAAATGAATTCCAAGTAACATATGGGATTTGGCTTAGCTAGTTCCAACATGAAATATCTCGTGATCCTAGCCATAATAATGTTTTCGGAAAAGTTGTTCAGGGGCTCACGGACTTATGGTTGCTACTTGCTAGACAGCTGTTCAAAATGTCATCTACGCGCGTTGCTATTGTGCAAATGAGTTTCTTGTTTATGCAATATCTTTAGATATTGACCAACACGAAAGTTCCCTGATAGACAAATACCATAAACGAACGGTAACCCGGATAGGAGAACTATCCAACAAATGGTTTGGATGATACCCCGAACACGTCAAAGCTCTTTCGTATGGTTATTTTTATTACCGTTGCTTTTTGTGACCACATCAGAAAGTTTTTGTGATAACCATGACTACCAGGTGGTAGACAAATAAGTTCAGAATTTTCTCACAATGTGGCGCTAGTAATCATGTGGTCTTCAGTTAAAAGCTATATTTCGAGATTCTGTCAATATCGAAAGTTTCTGACTTCATTAACCCTCCGTTACTCGCGCTGTTGTACCGTGTACAACACACATGAGTTTTCCTTTGCCATATTGTTGCTGAGTTATCAATCGATATGAAACCAACGAGAATTCCTCAAAAAACTTGTTTTGATAACGGTAACTGGGTGGCGGATAGAGCTGGGATGGCTGCTATACAAGTTATGGGCAGATACACCATTCAAGAAGTGGTTGCGAACTCATACGAAGGTCTCGTGATCGCCGTAGTTGTTACGCACCCCCCAGATGGACGATGGAGAAGTTCCACGATTTGCTAGATGGACTTACCGAAGAGCTGATCGGACGACGACCGGTAGTCATCGGAGGAAACTTCAATGCTTGGGCAGTGGAGTGGGGAAGCAGATGTTCCAATGCAAGAGGGCAAAGTCTGCTGGAAGCTCTGGCAAAACTGGAAGTTATGCTGGCCAATAAAGGCACCAGCAGCACTTTTCGCAGAGATGGCCGGGAATCTATTATCGACGTTACTTTCTGCAGCCCGTCGCTGGTGACAAACATGGATTGGAGAGTGTGCGAAGGATATACTCATAGCGACCATCAGGCGATACGATATGGCATCGGCCAACGGAATACTGTGGCAGTACGGAGGACGAGAACTTGTGACCGGAAGTGAAAGACGAAGGCTTTCGACAAGGATCTTTTTGTTGAGGCGCTTCGTGTGGACAGGAGTCCCGCAGATCTAAACGCGTATGAGCTAACAGAAACGTTAGTGAGAGCATGTGACACGACCATGCCGAGGAAACTGGAGCCAAATAACAGACGGCATCCAGTCTACTGGTGGAACGAGGCACTTAGCACTCTCCACGCTAGTTGTCTCAGAGCCAGAAGACGTGTTCAGAGAGCAAGAACGGAAGCATGTTGGGCAGAGAAGAACGAAGAGAAGTGTTTCGAGCGGCCAGGGCCGCACTTAAACGAGAAATTATGCAGAGCAAGTCTAACTGTTTTAAGGATCTGTGTCGAGACGCTGATGCCAACCCCTGGGGCGACGCATACCGAACCGTGATGGCGAAGATCAGAGGTCCAACGATGCCCGCTGAAATGTGCCCAGAAAAGCTGAAAGTCATCGTGGAAGGACTTTGCCCGAAGCACGACCCAACGACCTGGCCACCTAAACCGTACGGAGAAGGAGAGGGAGATAACGTCGAAGTCACCAACGAGGAACTCGTAGCAGTGGCGAAAAGATTAAAGGTGAAGAAAGCTCCCGGTCCGGCTGGAATCCCCAACGTAGCGTTGAAAGCGGCGATTCAGTCATCCCCAGACATGTTCAGGATGGTGCTGCAGAAATGCCTGGACGAGGGTCTTTTCCCTGACAGGTGGAAGATACAGAAGCTAGTGTTGCTGCTGAAAACAGGAAAACCACCGGGGATCCAGCATCGTACAGGCCTATATGCCTGCTTGATACGCTCGGAAAACCCTTGGAGCGGATCATCCTAAACAGGCTGACGAAATCAACAGAGATTGAGCACGGATTGTCGGAGAGGCAGTTCGGATTCCGGAAAGGGAGATCGACGGTGGATGCAATTCGGACAGTGGTCGAGAAAGCTGAGAAGGCGTCCAAACAGAAGCGGAGAGGAGATCGATATTGCGCCGTGATAACGATCGACGTCAAGAATGCGTTCAACAGCGCCAGCTGGGAGGCCATCACCGAAGCGCTGCATAGAATGAGGGTCCCTGACTACCTGTGCAGGATCCTAAGGAGTTATTTCCAGAACCGGGTTCTGGTCTACGAAATAGACATTGGACATAGATCGATTAGGATCACAGCGGGAGTTCCACAAGGCTCCATCCTTGGTCCAACGCTCTGGAACGGGATGTACAATGGCGTTCTAACGCTGAAACTGCCCAAAGGAGTTGAGATCGTTGGCTTTGCGGATGACGTCGTCTTGACGGTAACAGGCGAGACGCTGGAAGAGGTGGAAGTGTTGGCGACCGAGGTGATCGACATGATTGGTAACTGGATGCAAGGAGCGAAGCTGCCGATAGCCCACCACAAAGCGGAAGTGCTATTGGTCAGTAACTGTAAAGCGGAACAGCGGGCAGAAATCACCGTCGGGAAGCACGCCATAGCCTTGAAGCGTGTGTTGAAATACCTGGGAGTAATGATCGACGACTGGCTAAACTTCAACAGCCACGTCAAATATGCCTATGAGAAGGCTTCGAAGGCCATCAGCGCGATAGCTAGAATCATGCCGAAGAACGCTGGTCCCAGCAGTAACAAGAGGCGTCTTCTGGCCAGTGTGTCGTCATCGATACTAAGGTATGGAGGTCCAGCCTGGGTTGCAGCACTGGAAACGAAGCAGAACCAAAGGAAACTGAGCAGTACGTTCTGGCTCATGTCCATGCGAGTCGTGAGTGCGTACCGAACCATCTCGTCGGAAGCAGTATGCGTTATCGCCGGAACGATCCCTATCGGCATCACCTTGGCGGAGGACACCGAGTGCTACAGACGGAGAGAAGCCGGAAGAGTACGGAAAGTTGTGATAGTGGAGTCATTAGCTAAGTGGCAACAGGAGTGGAACACGATGGAGAACGGTAGATGGACACATAGACTAATACCGATTCTTTCGATCTGGGTGAACAGGAAACACGGAGAAGTCAACTTCCACCTAACGCAGCTCCTATCTGGCCACTGCTGCATCAGGAAATACCTGCATCGGTTCGGACACGCAGTGTCACTCCTCTGTCCGGAGTGTGGCAACGTCGATGAAACGCCGGAGCATGTGGTCTTCGACTGTCCAAGGTTCGAGGCAGTAAGTTTTTGACCAGTGTGCAGCGGTTGTTAGTGTGCCTGTGACTTGCATTGCCTCCTGGAAGGCTGGTTCACCGTATTTGGATGCCACACTTTGATCGTGTAGTTCTATCGAGAGTCTTTCAGAGACGATAGTTTTTGTTTAACTGCAGAAGAATATAAATCGTCCTCTAATTTATGGGAGCTCTTCGAAATCACCGTGAAATCATGGATTCCATTGCAACATATCGGGTGAGATCTTTCCTTTATTGTTCTCTTATTATATGACACATATTATGCTGGGTATGGGACGGTCCAACCAGGGCACTCGATTTAAGCGATTTGGATGGGGAGAGTGGAATTGGCAACTTCCTGTCGTAAACAGATCGTGAATTGAAGGTGGGCTCTTCTCGTGCGATGGCTTGTACATTACCGGGTTGTTGGATTTTGTTGTTGGAAGTAGATTCTCTTTGATCCCGCGGACTAAGCGTAAGTGTCTCTGCTTACAGGTTCACCCTCGGTTTTTGGCCCTTCATACGATGGTAAATTGAATACAATCAAGTGTTGTATTCGATCAAGTCGTACGAGGAGGACAGTCCACTGTCTAATAGTTCTGCCTGCAACAATGAGTGGTTTCCTTTACATACATTAAACGAAGTTACGTTACTTCGGGCAGTTCTAAGAACTCAGTGCAGGTTCAATTGCGGAAACTTCTGGGACGTTCCAAGAACTTCAGGTAAATTCTGAGTACCTTAGGGCAGTCTTGAGAACATCAGGGAAGATTTGGGATTCACATAGAACTTTATTAATTTCAGTCAACTGTTCAAGGAGCTTCAGAGATATCCATAAAACTTTAGGAAAGTCAAGAAAACTCCAATTAACATATAATGAGAGAGAGAGAGAAAGACAGAGAGAGAGAAGGATTAGTAATTTCCATATAATTCCACTACCTTATTCGCTTATCCTTGACAGACACGCGTATTTAGTCTACAATGTGCAGACTTCTTCAGTGTTTTGTACTACCTAATGCTCGACTGAAGAAAAACATCGCATTTTACCAAATATATATTAATTCAGGTACATTTTCACTTAGAAGACAGGTAAACTTAAATTTAATTTCCTGTAGGAGTAGGTACTCCACTGCTTACTCGTTGATGTGTCCTAACTTGAAAAGCCATGTGTGTCCGTTTCCTTGATCCCTGATGAGTAAAGTTGAATTACGTTGTTTGTTGATCTCGAAGCTCTCTGCAACATCCAATTTCCATGGTGTAGATACGGTCCGTGAAATCGTGATGTCCTCCGTAGATAGTTGGTGGTCCTCCGTTAAGATATGTTCTGCAATCTTGGATTTGAAGTCATATGTAAGGCCTTTTTACTCTTGCTTTTTGACCTTATTAACCTCCCCTAGAACATATTAAATCTAGTTGCTAAAGGTCTCTTGGTTTGTCCTACATATACTTTGTTACAATGATTTCAGCTCACTGCTTTACCTAAGACATTAACTGGGTCTTTAGTGGATCCTAACAATGATTTCAACTGGTTATGTCTACTGGTGAAAACTAAATCCAATCCGAATTATTATTGACTATGGTCTTAGCTTATAAGTAATATCTTGATCAAATATAACGGACACTCGTTTCAATGGTTCAGGTGCTGCGGTGAGGTTGTAATCTCTTTTGTAGAATTCTTGCTTTTTTTTATCGATGATCTGGATTGTGGTCTCCTTGTATCCGTTGAGCGTCGCTGTTTCGAAGATGTACTGTAATTCCTTATCCTTTCCTGTATCGCTGAGCGGAAGAGTCTGTATCCGATGTGGTGGAAGGCGGCCATTTTCTGCTGGAACGAATGGTTGGCAGTATAGAGGATAACTCTTTTGGTGCTTTTTGGTTACCTGTAAATTTCGTTTTCAAGCGAAGATGATGACAATTCCCTGTTGACTAGAAGATTGATAAATGCGAGTTTCCCGTCTTTTTCTACCTCGTGAGTCAATTTTATGCACTGAAACCTCCGTTTACGAAGTCTTTTTTACGCAGTATTCAATTTACGTGCCTCTTTTTACGAAGTAAATCCTAAATAACGAGGTCTTTTACGAAGTAAATCCCATATAACGAGTTTTCTTTTCACGAAGTAAATCCCAAATAACGAGTTTTTTGTACGCACTAATTCGATTTACGAACCCCCGTTTTGGTTCGTAAATGGAGGTTCCAGTGTATCCTTGTGAATTCTGTTGATCTCGTTTGAAATTTGTGGAAAGGCTTCCCGTTTAACTACGCTGAAGATATCGTCAACAAACCTCCACCAACGGTTTTGTAAAAGTCCTTTCTCCTTCAGGATTGTCTCCCAGTTGGCCATGAAAAGTTCATACAAGAAGGGGGGGGGGGGGGCTTTCATCTGCTTGTAGAATTTACCACGGAAATAGAAGTAGTTTTCTTCCATACAAAGGCGGGTCAGCTTAAGGTACGTCCGAACCTTGTTTCTCCATGCTGCATCCTCTCGTTACTTTAATAGCCAGTCCTCCAAATGGTTGATCGCTTCCTTGACTGGTACGCTGGGAAAAAGAGCTGTGACGTCGAAAGATAACATGATCTCATCCTCGTTGATGTCTCCTGACGATTGTAGTTGCTGGGCAAACTCCTGGATGTTACTAATTGCTTTACTCTGGAACTGATTCGGCATACTATGGAACTCTGTGACTACCCAACAAACAATTTGTGCTGTATAAAGGCTAAATAAGCAATTTTTTACCTGAAGAAGCATATTTTTGTCTGAATAATCTCTTATTCTGCTTCCAATGTTTGTTGGGTAGCCACTTCACAAGTTTGTGGGTGGTGGAACCAACTGCAGACACGATCTCTCGCATTTCATTCCCCGGTTTGTGGACTTTGGGGAGACGTTTGATCCTGGGTAGAATGGGATTGGGTTCCCGTAAACGACCTGCTCCATCTCCTAATATCGATTTGCACTCATTCAGTGCTTTCTCCACGCGTTTCATTATGTCCTGTAAGAGGTCTACTCTAAACTGTCTATACGGTCCGTTGATAATCTTCGTTGTCATCTGATTGTCGTAATTGTCCTTGTCCATGATAACGACCGCGTTGCCCTTGTCTACTTTCCCGTAGTATACTGCTTTACTTTTCAGCTCCTTACAATCCGAACTTCCTTTTCATTGGCGTGACTTTGTTCCTGTCCGTCCTTGATTACGTTCGATGTGATAGTCCTAACCGTATTCTGTGGTGATGTTCGAAGTTTCTTGGTAATCGCTGTTTCTACGTCAATGATGATCTGCTCCTGTCTGGCTTGGTTGTAACCGCGTATCCTGACCCCTTGTGTGTCAATTGTTCTTCTGCGAATGCGATCGTCGACCAGTTGACAACCAACCCATCAATGGAGTGAACCCTCGGCGTCGTGGTGATGGTTGATGGGATCTGCTCACCCGTTCGGTGTGTCGTCCGTCTTCGTTGATACTCTTGTCATAGTCTGTTTAGCTTCCTATCCTGCAGCTTCCACTTTCTATCCGATTTGCACTCCTCTGCTACCTTGGCCCTAGACAGAATGTAGAAAAATTCAATCCAGTAATTGCAAGAACGATTACTCATTGAGAAAGAGTTGTAGAGAGAATCCCAAGGGTTTTCTGGGAAGAGTTTTCAAATAAAACAAACATAGTATATTGGAATCCCAATCAAGGTAATTTCATTAAAATCATGGCAGAAACTCTGATAAAATTTGAAGAGGAACCAATTCTTGAAAAAAAACCTCTCAAGGGGAACCCGTAAAGAGTTCCAACGAAATTATAAAGGTTATTCAGACAAAGTATAAATCCCAAAATATAGGGACAACCAATTCAGTAGATTTTTGAGCATTGGACATCCTGGACTCAGCTAAAATTTTGAATTTAGAAATATAGAGAATCCATAAAATATCCGAACTAGTTTGAACAATTAGTAAAGGTGCGTTATTTTCATAACTCACCAAGAGTGTAGCAAGCCCTCACTACGTATATGTGTATCTGTCATTGATACATAATACTTAGTGGATTTATATGATAAACAATCATCTTTTTTTTTGCTTTTATCGGTATTTCACTAAGAATCTAATCCGTAACTTTCGATATAATGGCTACCAAGCCTTGGGGATTGTAACTTGTTAAAGATTTGTTTAGATTTCTCTCCATTAGGACTTATATCTAATTTTGGGCCTACTGAGCACAATCCGATCTTTGCCTCTATTTTCAAAAGGATTTTTTTCACAAAATGAAATGTTTTCACTGCAGCTGACTTTCAATTTATTTACTTTTCCGTTCGTACCGTAAGATATGCTAAAGAGAAAAAAATGGCTGAGATATCATTAAAAATCTAACACTGCATCTTGACCCCAAACTCGGCCTACGAATTCTAAATTAGGCCCAGTTCATTGAAACGTCAGTCAAACGCTATTGGATTAACTTCGGCCTATCGGATGAAGATAAAAATGGATTCGGTCGGAGCGGTTCTTTTGTTTTTGAGAAAAATAGATGTAAACATTCATGACACGCGTTCTCATTGACTTCGTTCTATAGCTTTTGAACTAAAGTATCGTACCAAACGCATAATTGACTTGTTAACTCTGAAACAATGGATTTAATTGATGATTTCTGCTCGATAGGCCCAAAATGGGCGATTAGGCCGAAGTAGTGCTCTACCATAGTTAATTAGTTACACACTTATAAAAATTCAAGTAAATTTAGGTATTCAGAGACTGACATATACGAGCGTCAATTTTGACATAAAACTCAGTCATAGAAGATGCCAAATTCACTTCGATCAAACGTTGGTTGGTTGGTTGTCTTTATTAAGGAGATTTTCCGCCAGACGCTGGATCAAACGTTCTTTTCGTCGAGTGACAAACTGTTCAGTCTTGAAGCACTTAATTTTACATAACATGTTTGTTTACGTCTCATACTCTATGTCAAAAATGGATTCCGTCACCTGTAATGTTAATTATTTCTAAGTGTATAGGTAGGTTTCGATTCTGCACGTTGTAGTTTCATACGCTATACTTGCCTTTGACATGTTTACCTAGGGGATGAGAACTTAAGAGTGTTAGATTTCAATAGGTTTTTAGTGGGTATGACTCTGTCAAAGACTGCACATTGTAGACGAAAAACGTATATCATAAAGGTACTAAGTGTAATTACGTAGAATATACATTTTTTTTTGCTGTTATGAGTATTCCACTAACAGCCCAATTAGTAATATTCAGTATAAAAGATGTTTTTTACCTCCCGATACCCAAAAGGCAGCAACCAATCAAATGTAATCTTTGAGTATGCAATTTTATTCTTCAACAAACGATAGACGTTTAGTAGTCGCTTTAAAAATCGACCAGTAACTTTTCAATATGATATTCCATCAATGCATTATCTAGGGGAATTTACGTATTCTCGGCAACCTAAGCAGCGACGTTCTTTCTATAGCCTTTTTCTCTAAGAAACGCACACATATGCAGTATTGGTTTGTTTACAATCTTTTGCTGCCAGCTGCTCTAACAATTTCATTCGAAAGAATTGTCAAAAACTGTTTTGAACCGCTTTTACAAAGCTCCAATCTTCTCTAGTGAGAGCGAGTATTGTCGGCAACCAGTTTTTCTTCGGCAACCGTTCCATTTGAACTGCATGTAAATCTGCTGTTCTATTATCGGCAACTCGAAATCAGCTACAATTTGTAGTGCGTGTGTTGCATTTCAAGAAAACCTTGCTAGATTGCTTTTTCTCAGTGGTAAAAATATAGTCAAATTGAAGCTGAAAGCATAAAGAATCGTTTGTATGCATTTAGCGAAGTGTTTTCGTAAGAAAATCCAGTGAAAATAGTGTTTCAATTTGGGTTGCTGAAAATAGTCTGTCATGCCGAAGCCGTCATTTCCCCTACTTCAACGCTAACTTTCCCTTTCTCTTTTATTTCCAGGTAATTTCAAATTTATCACGGCACCAAATTAAGCATGAAGACTCCACGCCTTTTGCGTACTAATCAAGTATTTGGATAGTTGTATTTTGTGCATTTGAAGGATTACAAAAAAAAAGGTAAAATCATTTGCATCCTAAAAACATACATCATCGTTTAATTTTAAAAACAGTTGACTCTCGACAATTCGATATTTATTGAACCATTGACTCTTGGAACAATCGAGATTTAGAACAGCAAAATCATAGGAAGAGAACATTCATTGGCTGCAACTGAAATGCAACCAAGGTAACCGGACTATTGATTTTACATAGCTGAATCCATTTCCAGCCATCGAGCAGCAATCAAACTCGGGAAATTCTATCCCGAATAAATTTGTAAATGAAGATTGCGTATCAAATTTTCATGGATAGATTTGTCTGCCATGCATAATTAATATTCCGATGCTTGGAATTTCGTATCGTTCCACGCGGGGCAAGCAACCCCATTCCGGGTAGCCATCAGCGCTCTTTCGTGATTTCAACCACTTAAAAGCGCTAGGAGTGCTTCTTCCGGTCTGCTCTGAGGGGGTGAGTTCCAGTGGCAAGATGCTGGGTGAAAATTACTGCAGGAGTGGTAGATTGGAATATTTTCGTTGTGCTTTCGACGAGAGGAGCGGGATGGATTGATTGTGAAATAAGAGCTCGCTCACGCAGGCAAGTATTTCAAAGATTTTCAATTTCACTGAATAAAGTGAAGGAAATTTCTTTATTTGCTCCTAAGAAGATGTACTTACAACGAAATTTAACTAAGCAAAATCATCAAAAGCGGGGTGAGAGGCGGTGGGGTTATTCGTTTCATGGAAAATTCCTAACCTTGAAGTGCCTTCAACCTGGCAATGACCGAGTCGAGGAATGCAGCGTTAAAGTCCGGATCCTTGGGGGGATTGGCACGGATGTCTTCCAGGCTCTTGATGACGTGGTCTGGCGCCGGTGGTTCCACGGGAAGATGAGCTCCCTCTGGTTGAAATCCGCCTTGATCTGCAACATAGGCCAGTCGGATTTTGTCTCCTTCCGGAGCAGTGTAAGAAAATTCGCCAGTGGCTGCTGCTCCATCAGGACTGCTTTCCGATGCCTGAATTCCATTGCTCGTTTCGAAAGCAAAACTGTACGAGCCGTCCGGGTTCAGAAGCTGGTCTTGTCTTACGATGGTAGCGGCACTTTCCGGCCCCACTCCACTGGGGGAGATTCCATTTCTTCGCTGCTGTGGCGCAGCAAACGAGCAAGAAACGACCACCAGAATAAGTCCCTGTAAGAGTGGAGAAGTTTTATCGTTTGATCTACACTGGTAGAAACTTTTATCTTACAAATTGCTTATGCATCTTGTTTCAGATGATGGGAAAGCTGCAAACACCAAGTTATTGAATTTGATTCGAATCACTGACTGATGCTGGTTCGAGATCTCTTGATAGTTTATATACCGCAAGATGAATCGAAGATTTTTTCTAGATTGCAACGCTTAAACGTTTGATCTCCAGAAATGCGGGTATTAGTCAAACAACCTCCACACTGCAATAGTAGGTGCCAGAAGCATACGCAAATCATCTTCATCCTTTTCAGCCTCCCACCACTTTGTAGTTGGCATCGTTGGAGGTGCATCTAATTTCACTGAAACCAAACTGTGCGGTACGCACTATCAACCGCAAAGATCTAGGTGTCAGTGTACTAGCCTTCCCCGCAATACTCCCCCATTATGAAGGCGTATGTTCTACAGCTACTGAAACAAATTTCGCTTTGATTTATGTGCGTTAGAAGTGGTCAGCGGCGAGACTGCTGCCGCCGGCCGGTCAATTGACATATGTTGACATCGTCGCCGCGTCGGTGTGCAGAGGTCTTTGGTTTTCAAATCCATAATGCACTTTTGCTCTTGAGTTGATTTGACCGGTAGCCGTAGTAATTGGTTTCGGGCTTATGGTTGGACAGGTTTTTGTGTATGGAAGATGAGCTGCCCCAGTTGTCATCTGGTTTATAATGCAGAAAAAGAGAAAGATTCACGTTGATTGGGCTGCAACTTAGCAGGTTAGTAAAACCGGGTTGGTAAAGGTCACTTTTGTGATGTAATTTGATCAGCTGTTCGGTCGAAGTGAGACCAGTTAATTGAAGCTAAATGAAGGATTAGTAATGTTGTAAGGTAGATTAATTGAGTGTTTGAATTTATTGGTGAAATTTATGGGAGATAATCTATTTTTGATTAGTAGTTAAATTGCACATCATCTGTTAGGTGTAGCATAGAATGCATCCGGCATATGAATCGTGAAAGTGATTTTTGAGTTCAATTAAATATTTGTTTTTATTGTACTTGGATCATGCAATCACAATGGTTTTGACCGAGGATGTTTCATTTCACTGAAGAACATTTCGCCGAAGGACATTGCCCCAAATGGGTCATTTTGCCAAATGGGTCACAACTCGAAAGAACTGCTCATGTTCAAAAGAAGGAAACATTACATCGGAATAGCTTGCCAGGTTGGAAAAATCGAACCTTCGGTGAAGCGTCCTTTGGCAAAATGTCCCACTCCCGTTTTAACCTTTACATCTGTGTTCTCATATTCTATAGATTATTATTTTTTTCAATTCGCGAATAACCTGAAGTGTGTATTATAAAAAAATAATAATAAAAAAATTCTGAAGAATTTTTTCAACTTTTAAATCAACAAAATCTAGCCATTTAAGTGATTATAAAATTATAAAATTGTTAAAAGTTGCGCTTAGATTAGCTAACTGATTAACTGCACATATAAATGGTTGCAACTTCGTAATTGATCTGAACCAGTGAAATTGTTCAATGAATCAACTGAATGACTTACTGGGAATATACATTCATTCTTACTGTACAATTTTCAGTGACTCCAAATGTTTAAGGATCCATACCGGCGCGAGCCACGCCCTTACAGTCAGGTGGAAATGGGAAAGGAATGTTAGAGCGTGATGTTTGCTGTATTAGAGTCTGAGTATACCTCCCCGAGTACACGAGAGTATCAAATCAATGTCAAGTTTTCTTGTTAAAATTTTGGGAACTTACATCGGAAATGGCTTTTAGTTTGATGAACATAAGAGGTAAAATAAAAAAATCTAAAAATCTTTGGGACCATAAAGGAGTAATAGTAAAGTCAAGTGTTGGCACTAGAGCTTCCATCCTGGGATGTCCCGGGAGGAAAATCCCGGGATTGTGAAATTTTCCGGGATTACCGAATCCCGGGAAATAAATTTATAAATCCCGGGATTGCGTTAATCCGGGGATTTTTTTTATCACTCTTTTACCCCATAAAATCTACCTTGGAATATCTGTAGCAGAATCCAGAACTTTCACATCTTATGAAATATACCTCTTCCCTTCGTTTGTCATTCATTCTGATTTATCGAAAGTATGGCACACAGGCATCACTTTTTGTATGTGATCGTTGTACAAGAAGTACTCGTGAAAAATATGATCTAGCAGTGAAGCAAACCGTAAACATTTATATTAAATTTTATAATCGTGTATATAGATGGTACATAGACGAAAATTACGTTGAGCGTCCATCATTCATAGTTGATCGAAAAACCATTGAAATGCATTGTTAAGATGGTTGGAAGTACGTAGTACTAGTCTCAACTGATGAAAAAACTCAGTATTTGCAGATTTTAGAGTCCTTCCTCAGATTACCGAGCTGAATCTTGTAAAATGCTTACTCCTTCTGGAGGAACTTCTATAGGTCACCGTTTTCTATCCTGGCTTCCATAGCTCTCCATCGCTGTCATTTGCTACGCACAAAGGTATGCATAACCTTCACACGTAAGTATGTAATCTATGTAATCCTTAAGCGCAGCAAAATAGTTTTTACAAATACATTCATGAGAGAAATCATCCACCATACTCCTCATGATCTGTACACACTATTGTGAAATTTGGCTGACAAACAAAACATCATATCACATTAGGGAACTTCTTAGATGTCAAGAGACATTCATTTGATTTCGTGGAACTTCAGGGACCATAATAGATCTTCAGGATACTTCGTAGAATGTTAAACAACTTCGTGGACGATGATTACGGAACATCGCATGAATTATTTGAAAGTTCTGCAAGCTAAGCAGAAATTAAGTTATACCTATCAAAAAATTGAAAGATGTAAGCTATGGAAAAATCTTTGAAGTACTGGGAACTTCAAAGAAGTTGACGGAATATCCCAGGAATTCGTCGAATATTCTACATATTCAGAGAACTTTATATAGGCTTTGAGTTCATGGAACTGAGTTTAAGTTCAAGAAACTTCTTGAATGTACAGGAATCTTCGTATAACTGATATTCACCGATTTGCGATGATATCTCTCGATATTATTCAAGACTTTTCAACTTAATCAAGTAATGTTCTGAAGATCTGCAACTGTTCAAAAATTCAAACGACAATTTTTAGACATCCTTGCAAGATGGAAGTTTGATTAGAGAGTATTTAAAGGATATGTAGTTGGTCCGAGATTGAAAGACCTCTGGATATTTTTCAAGACTTCAGGTTGATCAATTATTATTCTTAAGATATTCAACTGTTCATAAAATTCAAATAACGTTTCTAGATAGTCTCTCAAGGTTGCTGGTTGGTCAGATATTAGTGAATTCAGGTTGATCAGGAAATCTGAAGATCTTAAACTAGTCAAACATTCAATTAGCTCTCTCAAGATAGCAGATCGGTCAGAAAGTACTTAAAGATCTCCAGCTGATCTAAGATCACAATAAAGTCCTCTGAATATTTTTCAAGGCTTCAGGTTGATCAAGTATTATTGTGAAGATATTCTCCCAAAACTGTACGTTGATCAGAGAGTATTAAAAAGATCTCCAGCTAATCGAACATTTCAGTGAAGTCCTGCGAATATTCAATTGGATTATGTTTTATTCTGAAATATTCGATTTTGGTAACATTATTCATATTCAACATATTCAGGAAGAAGCTTAAAATGTGAAGTCAAAAACTTCATTTATTTAACAAAAATCTCAATATGCCAGCTTAAAAAAAAAATCCATCGGAAGCCTGCTCCAGCTTCCGCATGTCTTGAAACACCTTCACAAATCATGAGATGTCTTCAAAATGTCTGCATGAAAAAAATACCTTCACAGAATTTTAAATGTCTTCAAAATGAAGATATGTCTTTATATCTGGTGTCCCTAGTATTGAAGGAATCTCCATTTTTAATCTTTCTTCGAAGGAGATGAAACATACGAATAATTAAACAATTAACTATCTTTGTTTACTTCACGGGATCCCGGGATTTCCCGGGATATCAAATAAACATTTCCCGAATCCCGGGATGGTGGAAACCATCGGCAAATGGAAGCTCTAGTTGGCACATATAAAGAATAACAAAAATCATACCAAATTTATATCACATATTGCTATTATTCATTATCAAGCTATTTGTATGACAGTGGTGCCTGTGGTGTAGTGGTTAGTGTGATTCCCTTTCACCCCGAAGGGTCTGGGTTCAATCTAAGTCGGTGCCACCAGGATTTTCTAAGGCATAAAATTTCTGATCACGCCTTCCTTCGGAATGGAAGTAAAGCCGTTGGTCATCGGTCCATGAGCTGATGGGTCTATAGGTAGGATCCAGTTGTGAGGGAGCTGCCTTCCTGGCGTCGATAGCATTGGCACGGAAAACAAAACAAAGAAAAAAACTTTGGGTATGCTGTTTAGATTAATAATGTTAATGACATATTAATAGCTTATTCTACTATCAGATCAAAACAAACTCTTGAATTCATGATACAGTGCTTTCACGATTTTGTCAGCCTGTAGATTTTACAAAACTTTGCATCATGAATTCTCAAACTTTTCGCTCTGAATGACTTTTATTCTTAACTTTAGTTGAAATGTGGTTGTTAAGTGATGTGGGGGTAAAATTAGTTTACGTGGTATAGTGAACAATTGGCTATTTATAGTCAATTCAATGCACAGCCATACACAATTCTACCCAGGTATACAGCTAATAGAGGCTTGAAAAAAAACATTAGCGATCAGTCCACATCGTGCTCCCTTGCCGTGCTTTTTGCTGAAGGAAGTGTTGCTGCTACCGAAAGCTACAACAAATTAAAACAGCACTTTTCAGTGCTCAATATACCTGTAAATGTTCTACCATGTTTGACTCTTATTCCTCTTTGATCCTTGTTTGAACCCTACCCGAGGTAATCCTTCTTGCATATCGATTTGGAAAATTCCTGTTCGATCCTTCAGATTCTTATAGTGAATTGCTTGGAAGCCGATTTGGATAAAAATTTATCTTTCGCCATTGTGCCTAAGCACCAAAGGAAAGGGCAATCTCTTGATCCCCTTTCTAATAAAACTAATTTGATTTGCTCACGGAAGATGAGAATGATCCATCATCCAGGAAAAATTCTAGTAAACATTCCCGGCTT